GCGAGACAAAAAAATTGTCATTATTTTTTTAGCTCCTTCCAGCCGGACTCCCGATTCCTCTCCATTTCGCACGCAAGGCCTCATCATCTCCACTCCTCTTGATCGACCACAGTGGCCACCATCCTCCCTGACGTTGATATGTTCAGCCGTCCCAACGCCAGTCCGTCTTAGCATTGGCGACCGAAGAGTACCTTCTTAAATAAGCATCAATAGTTCCTTCAGTGTCAAACCCACGTGCGATTCGCCTCCCATTCCATGCTTTTCAGCCTCTTCACGCGTTCTTTTCGCGAGGGCTTCAGATTCTCCAATCCTCGATACCTTCTTCAATCATCAAGGTTAGGGCATTGTGGATCATGATTTTTAATGTCTTTTATGGTTTTTCTTTTTTATTTTTTCTGTTGCTTCATCAAGTTTGCTCAGTTATGTGATTTTTTAAGTTCATGATTGTTGAAATCTCCTTTGCAATGGATACCGGTAGTACAACCTTTTTTTTTTTTCATTTTTCAGTAGGTTTATTTTACTTTAATTCCAATGGTTATCTTGGAGTTTCATCATTGGTAGGTCTGTTCTGATATTGGCTTATTGTTACTTGGTTTTCGGGCGAATTGAAAATTTTAAGATCTAGAGAAAGTAACTGGTATTATGCTTTTATTTCTTATTTTAATGGTTGTTTCTGTATAGAATCTGTAGCATTTGATTTTTCGGCGTTTGATTTTTTGGTGTTGACTAAAGAAACTTCTTAAAGAAGGATGTACATTACATAAGGTCTTGTATATTACTAACATATTACAATATTTTTAACATCTAGATGGGAAATCAAAAAGAAGGATGTGTATCTGCATCATGGGACTTAGATACGACTTTAATATATTGTGATATATATATATAAGAGAAATAGAACTTGGGAATAGACCAACTACGCATTTTACTAAAGAAGGTTAGAAAAATCTACTTAAAAATTTCAACGAACGCACTGGATGAACTTATGACCGAAACCAACTTAAAAATAAGTGGGACTAATTAAAGAAAGACTAGAAGTAATGGAAAGATTTGTTGCGAGGCGAGACTGGAATTGGTTGGAATCCAATTAAAAAAACAATTGATGCTTCTAATGATTGGTGGAATGAAAAATTGCAGGTATCTCTCAAATTTGAAATCATTCAGTTTATACTCTAAATTCAAACCAACTCTTAAGTAATATAACGCATGATTCATAATTAATCATTTGTTGTACTTTAGGTAATCCCAAATGCTAAGAAGTTTTGTTTCAATTGAATACCACTAGAGTTGGAAGAGAACTTGGATCTTATGTTCAGTCGTATTGTTGCAACTGAGGAAAATGTCTGGATTTCTAGTTATGGTGTACTTCCCCCAGAACTAAATGACAATCACGCAATCTCATCCGAAGAAGAAGAGTACACTCAAGATGAACAAACACATCTTCCACATGTTCCTACAAATGAGCCTACAAGCAACTACGATACACATAGATCACAACAGAGTGCCACATTATTGCGTAAAAGGAAAAGAGTTAGAACTCCTAAGTCGGGTACTAGAGAACTTTTTCTAAATCATGTTGAGGACCTCGTGGATGCTGCAAAATCTATAAGTTCTGCCATAAGTACATCAAATAAAAATCGTACAACATTTACTATCCAAGAGGTTTTAGAAGAGATATCTAAAATTCCTGATATATTTGATGATTTTGAGTTATATGGCTTTGCCTTAGAATACTTTAAAGATAAGGATAACCGAGAGATATTCATGGGAATACCGATGGAAAGAAGATTATGGTGGCTTCGAAGGAGTTTTGATAAAAGTTTCTTTTAATTGCCCATTGAATAAGAAGGAATAAGCAAGTACCTAATAGCTCCATCTCTTCAAAATTGAAAGAAATAGTTACATCATGTTTTAAGTTCTGTTCTTGTAGTTGTTGTTATTGTTTTTAGTTAGGTTCATAACTTATTTCCTTTGTATTTATTTAGGTTGTTGCTTATTTCCTTTGTGTTTATTTAGGTTGTTGCTTATTTCTGTATATGATTCTGGATGTAATTATGTTATATTGCTTTATATGATTCTGGATGTAATTGTTCAAGTGCAGGCATATTTGGACTCTTTTTTGCAAACGTTTATTGTGTGTGATTTATTTTGATTTGTGTTTGGTGCATGTTGCAGATTACATTTTATTTGACACTTATGTGCGTCTCATACAAGTTTTGATTTAGGAATTGCTTTGATGTGAAGTGGTTGGCGTGTTAACTTGTTATCATCACCATTATTTGCCTAATCCTAACTTTTTTGCATTGTAAACTGAATTCTTGAACTGACCACATCTCTTTGCCGAAGTTTTTTTTGGATAGAGTTGTCTAATAAGTGACTGTGTTGCGTAATGACAACTTTGCACCAGACTTGTTGGATAGAATTCCCTTCAACACCTGATGTGCCATGTACTTGTTATGTTTTACTTTTTTTTTTATTGCATTTTACATACTTTATTTTCTAACTCCACAAAACTTCTTAAATAATCTTCTAATAATACTATCCATCTTACCACACATAATTGCATGTATACCGAAATTTACCTGCTCTTTATGCTTGCGATGTTGTTCTCATTCCTTGGATATATGATATGACTGAAAAAGTTCTGATTCATTTCAGCAGCAGCAGTTATAGTAATGTTAAAGAAGAGTATAGAGAACTATGCTTTGTTTCTATTTGTTGGTTTTCCAATTTCAGCCAGCTTTTCAGTGCAACTATGAATTGTTTTGATAAGCAAGAAGTGCATCAAATATCTCATGAAATTGATACTTAAATTGATTGATGAAATTTCAAATGATTTGGTAGGAAACTTTGCATTTTCATGGTGAACTTAAGCTAGATGATGGTGCAGTTGACAATCTGGAGTCATTTGAAAATTGCTCTGTAATAGGAAATTCTGGAAAAACTGAGGGTTGGTATTCGGTTTCTAAAAAGAGCCTATTGAAGAATTGGCCCTTAATCTCAGCAGTCATCGTATATTGCATTTTTTCTTTTGTTAATTAGTATACAAATTCTTCACTTAATGGCCATCAATCCAGGCTGAACCATATGAAATCCTTTTAAGGCAATCTTCATGAGGTCATTTATATGAAGCAACATATTTTTAATTAGTAATCAGCTGAATGATGTCTTCTATTTTTAATTAGTAATAATCACTACATTATTATATATCATTTAGTAATTTGTAGTATTTGTACTGTTCCAGATCAATAATGGCAGAGGATTTGTTAAATTTTGAGGAGGACGAAGTACTTGATGATATGTTAGAAGTTAATGAGTGTAAAGGAGTGGCAGAATTTACTCGTATAATACTCACAACGACATGTGCAATTCATGATTACTATGCATTGTATGTTTGCAAGAATCCTTGCATGACATCAGCTCAAACGAGAGATAAATGGTTGTGTGAGTTGTTGCATGGCCATCCAAATAGATTTCATAACATGTTCAGAATGTCACAAGTTATTTTTATAGACTTAGGGTGCGTTTGGGACGGCTGCAGCTGTCGGTAAAGTAGGTTGTGAAATTGTTGTACAGAAAATTGCTTCCTGAAGTTGCTTTATATAAATCATTATATTTTGTTTGGATAGCGTAACTGTAGAACTACTGTGCTGCAGCTGTATGTGAATAATTTACCTTCATACCCTTATATATATTTAGATGAAATATATAATTTTTTAAAATTTGATTGTTTTAATGTATATGATAATCAACTATTAAACCCTAAACAAGCTGAATCCATTAGAGTAGAAGATAAAAAGCATCGGCGAACAAACAGAGACAAATTAAACCCTAACAAAACCTAATTAAAATTTCCTGCAAAAACTAACGCTAATCTACCAGGCAAACAAAATCTCAAGCACAGACGTCCATAAAATCTCAGAAACAGCATGAATTAACCGAAACCAAATATAAAAAACGCAACGCCATAAAGAAATCGATGAAAAATAATGAAATTATTCGTCTCAAAATCCAAATGCTAGCCTGATTCGTATCAGAAATTTCATTAAAATTTTATACAGAAACCAGAAAAATAAGCGAAAAACTCGATTGGACTGATACTTCTATAAAATTAGGGATGAAAGATACCTGAAAATCGAGCAGTGAAGGTTAGATGCGGGAGGAAAGAAACGGATGAAAACGACATTCCAATTTGCTTCGCTGCTCATCCACGAACAGTGTCAGATAGTGACGGCGACGGCGACTGCGACGGCGACGGCAATGGCGACGGCGACAGCGACGGCAACGGCGATGGCGACGGAGGCGATAACTTATGGGGAGAATTTCCCGGCGGGATCGTAAGGGTTGGGGTTGGATGGAGTAGAAGGGGAGGTGTAGGAGAGGAGATGACGAAGGGGAGATCATTTCCTCCATTGAAAGGGATTGGAAGGGGATTTTGGGTTCGCCGGCATGACGACTGTGCTCACGGTGGATAGGAAGGAAATAAATGGCCTTTATTTGCTCTCCAATAACATTCATGAACGACCAAAGGATCTCACGTGAAGCCATGTCAAGGAGAGCTCGAGGAGGATGAGGGTGGTAGTCCGCGAATATTTGGAGGGGAATTTTCGTCATTTTTTTTCGGAAAGCAGCGGACTGCAGGCGGACCGGGAGAGGAGTGTAAGGTCACGGAAGCAATTACACGCCGCGAATTTTTTCTGCCGCTGTTCTGCCGCGATGCCCCAAACAGTAATTTCATAACTTTTTATAAAGTAAAGCAAGAGTGCCCGCGTCCAAACAGCCCTTAGTTTCTTTGTTGGAATCATCATATGGTTTACATGGATCTCGCAGAACTACTATCGAGAGGTACTTGCAATAACTTTATACATTTTGGGACATAATGAGAGTATTAGATCAACATGTGAACGATTTCAACACTCTACAGAGACAATTAGTAGGTTTTTTTATAATGGTCTACAAGCATTAGTTCGATTAACAATGGAGAATACATTGCACTGTAGATAAATTTTTTCATGATATTCCTGAAAAAATAATTAATGACAAACGTTACATGCCATACTTTAAAGACTGCATTGGTGCTATTGATGGCACACACGTTGATGCACGCATCCCTGTTGAAGAGCAGGTCGCTTATATTGGACGTCATCATTCACCGACACAAAATGTTATGGCTGCATGTGATTTCAACATGTGTTTCACATTTGTTTCACCTGGTTGGGAGGGTTCGGCAGATGATGAACGTATATTTAAACATGCAGTGATGGATCCGAAATATAATTTTCCTGCACCACCTCCAGGTATTACTAATTTATAGAATGAAATTGTTATATTTATTAATTAGGTTATATTGTATACTAATTAACAAATTTTTGAACAGGAAAGTTTTACTTAGTTGATGCAGGTTACCCTCTACAAAGGGGATATTTGAAGCCATACTTGGGAACCAGATATCACATACCAGATTTTAGAAGAGATAGTAGAACTATTATGGGACATAAGGAGCTTTTTAATAGTAGACATTCCTCACTAAGAAGTGTAATTGAACGTTCCTTTGGTGTATGGAAAAAGAAATGGGGAATATTAAGAGATATGCCTAATTATAGTTTTAAGAAGCAGCGTCTTATTGTTGTTGGTACCATGGGATTACATAATTATATTCGACGACATATATCACGAAATGATCCAGATTTTATAGACTGTGACGTTGATGAAAATTTTATTCATCCAGAGGCATATCAATGCAGAGTAGGAGAGCAAATTGAAGAAAGTAATGTGTTATATGCCGAAGTAGAGTTTGAACTGAGAGATAAAATTGCATTTGAACTATGCAATTAGAACAGGTATAATGAATATGCAAACTGTTTTTTTTGTAAATATGAATTTCCAAATATTTTAATACAAAAAAAGCTGAAATATTTGTTTAATTTTTTTTTTGTAACAGGAATCAAATTCAGTCATCATCCTGAGAAGGAGATGATGACATGGTTGTTTAAGATTTATTTAGGAAAGTATTTGTAATGCTATTTGTTTATACCTTTGATGAACAATTGTTGAAATTTTATTGATGTAATATTTTTTAATACATGCACATTTAAATATGTGCCGCATCAAGCCATCAGCTACAAAGGATTCCATTCAGATTTGCGTTTGATTCATTGTATCTTCTCAATTTCAAAAATAATTTATTTGATAAGAAAATAAATTAATTTTCCAACATAAAAATATATTTTTTGTTTAAGTTGAGTTTTTTTTATAGAAGAATTAATAACAAAATATTGTAAGTATAATAATAAATTAACATGATTTAAATTTTATCATATTTGTAGTAAAAATTATGTTGTATGTTAAAAAATTATGAGTTAAAAATGAAAACTTTTTATATTATAAATTAGTAGACAATTAAATTTTTCTTAGAAAGATATATATATATATTAATTATGTGTACATAAATTTCATGGGCAATTATGTCTTTTATAAAAAAATCTCAAATGCAGAACTCCTAAACAAACAATTTAAATTTACTTTCAAATATTAATAAGCACTTTTAAAAACATTACTCAAACATATCTCATTATTGAAACTCCATTTTATTGAACGGTTTTTTCTCAACCTCTTTTTCTAAAACTCCTTTTTATGTAAGCATAAACTGAATCAAATGAAGTCTAAATTTGTCTTCCAAACAGTTATGACGAGCTGATTAAAGCTTATTCAAACGGAGCCTAAGACTACTGGCTTGTTAACTTGCGCACAGTTTAAGGATAATTAATAAGTTAAAACACGAGATTAATATCAAGTCGGTCGTCGGCTCTCCAACCAAGAGGTTATTTTCGTCGTTTCACTATACTCATTCAAGACTCTCAATATCATCTCAGCGAAATGTCATACGCCATTCTTCGGCAACACTGGGCGGGGAAGCAAAATGAATTGGCTGGCCTCTTAGCCGAAGCTAGGGTTAGAGTTCGACAGAGATTTGCAGCTTCCTTCAGATATCGATTAAAAGGTTCCCCGTGGAGCTTTGCTTCAGCCGATTCCTATCATTTATCGTCGGTGATCCATTCTTGGGCCCCATACTTTTTCTTTTACATTGGCTTCTCTGCTCCCCCATCTGTAAAGTTTTCGATAAATCTCTCTGTTGCTGGTCGCATTCCTACCCAATATAGTAGATCTGAGTGTCGGACTTGCTGCTACCTGGATCGAAGGTATTTTCCTTGTAATTTTGAATTCGCTTTAGGTATTTGGTTGTTTTTAGAGTTTTAGATAGAAACATCTTTGGAAAGTGATGAATTTATTGTCACTCATTTGTTTGTGATGTCGGAATCATCATATTCAAGATAGGGTTAACAGGATTTATGAAGTTAGAAGCCAATGCTCATTTTCAACTAAACCAAGCTAATGATGGGAGTAGCAACTTTTATTGTATTTCAAAGCTTGCTTTTTGATTTCAAGAAACCAAATGGGTGCTTGGCGCATTTTTCCTTGGCATCAATAATTTCAATGTTGTTGCTCTTTATCTTCTTCACTGTGTAATTTTTAGAACTGGAGGTATCTAATCTATGAATTGATGCTGGGTGGTTTGATCATGCATGAATATCAATTTATATTTGAATTGAAAAACTTTCAAAAATTAAATTCAGAACCATCCGAGCTCTGATTCAACATTGTTATGGTCAAACTAAAACTCGACTAGACAAACCAATTGGCAATAAAGATCATCACAAACCTCCCCTTTTTCTTTTCTATTGCAATTTCTCGATTATTATATGATGATTCCTTCACTTTCCATATCTATATAGATAGAAACAGATATACTATAAATGACATCTCTTATGTCAATGACACAAAAGGGATATGAAATGAATGGAATTGAGATATAGATGGAATATAATAAAATAGAGCTACATTGAGGTTTCCTATGAAATGAGGCATGAAACGGAGCCACTACGACAAAGTTCCTCAAGTCACGAAGGAAGCTTCAGACTCATATTGTTCATGGGTTGAGAACGGGAGTTGAACTCTAAAGTGTTACAATTTGACTCAAAATGAGTTTAGATCAAACAATTAAAGCGCATAGGAAACTTCCAAGGCGTTAATTAGGCGACCAAACAACTCACATGTAATTAAATTGAGCGTCTCAACGTGATGAACCCAATGTGCCCAAAATCATATGATTTTGATATTATTAAAACATGTAATTGCTGAAAGAAAAATCTATGATTGAGGGAATCAATATAGGTCGATTGATTGAATGTTTTGGATTTTTCATACATATATGAGACATGTCACTCTAAAAAAATCTATAAATAATCTCCTTACTCTCTACATGAAGGGGAATGTGGACCTTGTCTTGATATTTAAAATAACTCAGAAGCTTGAAGAATCTCGGAGCTCCACCCAAGCACCACTATCCCATTCTCCCTCTCTCGCTCGTTTGTTGCCATCAAGCCATCGCCAAAACACCAATGTTAGACCACCACTTGACCATTAGCATTGAACCATAGCTTGATCGTTGCCATCAAACCATGGTCTCCCGACTATAGTCTCATGACTACCATTGTCTGATTACAATCCACCAACCACCATCGTCTGACTTATGGCATTTATATCACCATCTCTCGACTACATTCTTATGACCACCGTCACCTGATTATGTTCCTCCAACAACTTTCGACTAACTATAGTCTCCCGACCATCGTCGCTCAACTATGGTTCTCAGATTATTGTTGATCTCCATCATAATCGCTCAATTATTGTTCTCCAATCACCATCGTCTGATTACAGTCCTCCGACCACCAACATTCGATTGTAGTTTCCTGATTATTGTCGCCTGACTACAATATCTCTAGCACCCTCTATCGACTATGATCCTTTGAATAATGTCATTCAACCATCTTGCCTATCAACAATTCTTCAACCCCTATCACCTAACTACGATCTTTTGACCCTTATCGCCTAACTAAGTTACTATGACTAATGTCGTCATGCTACAATCATTTTACTACCATCAAACAGTTATAGTATTCTGACCTCCATTGCCCAACTACAATCCTCCGAAGACCATCACCCAAGTATAGTATCCCGCTACGATCACGTGACTACGGTCATCCGATCACCATCATGTGATTATATACTTCGACCATCATCACCTAAATATGGTCCTTTGACCACCATCACTTAAATAGAGTCCTATGACCATTATTGCTCAGCTACACTGATGTTGTCGACTTCGTCACATGTCATCTCCAATAATGCTGGTGCACGCCATCGCCTATAAGGCCGATGCACGCTGTCAACACCCACTATGACTCTCGATATCAACATGTGGATTTATGCTGGACTTTTTGATCTCTAGTCTACTATCCTTAAAGGAGTATGAACAAATATATAGAAAATGATCTATTGAAAACAATTCATATGTCATGGGTTTTTTCTAACTTTAATCTTGAAATTCATTTTGTATAGCTTATGCTTACTATATTATATCAACACATTTTTCAATCACAGAAAATGACATCATTTCTATCAATTACAGGCACCACTGAAATCATTTTAGGTATGCTAGGCCTTTTGGTTTTTCTCTTTCTGAGTTTTCATTGTAGAACTTTAGAATCTCTTGTACCTGTTTTTTATCTATATGTGTGTTGGATCTTTATACAAAATTAAGATGTTAATTTTTCTCTACCGCCATAGATATTCTAGCATACAACAAGACTAAATATCAATGATACCCGTCTTTGCCTACTGTGTTTAATAAATTTGGTGCATTAACTATTGTGCTAGACATGAATAAGTTCAAGTTCAAATTCGGTATTAAAATCCTTTTTTCTTTGGGTTCCTTTCTAAACTTGAATTATAAGTCAAGCCGTTGATCATCAAATGGATCAACATATTTTCAATTGATGACTTTCATTATGTGTAAAAGAACCTTATGAATTTTCACAATATGACTTTTTTTAAGCATCTTAGTATATAAAGTATGTATTGACATAACTTTGAGAGTATATCCTGTGATTTTAATGGTGCAACATAGTTACAAAATAAAGTTTTATGCATATATCTATGTTTAGCTCTTTCTGAGTGGAATATAATCCAGTTGACTATTGTTCGTGTTTAAACACATTTAGTTAAGGAGGTGAAAAATCATGTTTATGCTCGGCTCTTTCACTTAAAGAATGAGCTGAACACTAACAAAAAAATCCAGCTTTTTTTTTCTGACTCCTCTTGATGTGGACATCGATTAGAGGTTCAAGCATGTGTATCGCCGGAGACAGCGCCGATCGACGGTTACGATTCAGAGCCTTTAATTTTTGATGTATTTTATGTTTTATTTAGTTGGCATTTTTATTTTCTAGTTTACCCCTATGGGGAGTGTTGTCTTATTGTAGCCCAAAGGGCATTTGAGTACTTTTATTTCCTTATGTTTGAAGACCTATTTATATGGGTCTCATGCTTTATAATAGACTAATGAATATTTGAATGAAAAATTTATGTGTTTCTACTTCTTCTTCTTGCATGAGAGCTTGAGAAGGGAGAGAGCTCAAGGGGAGCAAATCGCAAGACCCACCAGTCGTTGGAAGAGTCCGCGGCTCGTGGTTAGGTTTTCTATCTTCTCCTTCGTATTCACCTCCATCTTCCTTCTCCTCCACAAGAAAATCCCTTCCTAACTCTTCATTGCCGCCACCCCTTGGGAACCCGCTGCCGGCCACCACCACAACCCCGGCCGGCCACCTTGCCGGCAACTTCCCCTCAACTCCCCAACCGTCCAATCCGCCCTTCCGCATGCTCCTAAATTTGAAATTTGAATTTCAAATTTCAAATTCTTTCCTAATTTGGAAATCCAATTTAGGAAAGTTTATTTGATAAATTCCAATTTCAAATTAAATTAAATTGGAGTCCTCATAACTTACCTCCACGTCATCACCCGAAATTGGAAACTCCACCATTTGATTTTTCCTTTCTCCCTCCTAGCATTGCCGCCGGCCTCCTCTAGGTGGATCCACAATTAATGCCCCCATTAAGGCATTGATGACGCCTCATTTGAATTCAAATACAAATAGTTTTTCCCTCCTAAATTACTTAAAACTGAAATTAATTTTCAGTTTTAAGTTTTCAAACCTCTCCCTCCCTCTCTACAAGCCGCCGGCCTCCCCTCTTAATGGGCCTCATTAATCCCTCATTAAGTCCCTTAATCACATTCAAAATTTGAAATTTATTTCAAATACTTCCCTCTAAATTTACTAAAACTTGAAATTAAATTTCAGAATTTTAGTAAACCATTTTGAGAAGCATCCAACTTAATTTGCTCTCACCCTAGCTTTCTCCCTCTTGTACCCGCCAGCCCCCATCCTCTCTCCTTGAGATTCCCGCCGGCCCTCTCCCATCTTATCAAACGACAAGTACTCTCTTTCAACACCACGTTCTTCCTCTCTTCGTGTGGAAGATTCTTCGACGCCAAGCATGCATGGCGGAATCCGAATGGAACTTTGGATTTGTGCATGACGATCGAGGTCAAGTCGACATCCACCAATCGCCGTTCTTTGATGTGGGTTTTGACTTCGACGACACCGTTGAAGACTACTTGAACCGCATCCTCCCCGAAGCTCCTTCGCATGTGGTATCACATCACCTCTACTTGTATTTTGCACTTTCTCTAAGCTTTGAAAAACCTGCAAGTTTTACAGGTTTGGGAGTTTGCAGAACAATGCCGGCCATTAAACTTGAACTGGCAAAACAGTACTATGCTACCAGTAGCCTTGTTGTGGGATATGCTCTATGCTCGAGCTTGCTTGCTGTCATTAACAAATTTGCCATCACAAAATTCAATTTTCCTGGCCTCTTAACGGCATTGCAATACCTGTCTTCTGCTGCTGGTGTATGGATCCTTGGAAAGCTGGGATTTCTGCACCATGATCCTTTCACCCTGGAAATAGCCAAAAAGTTCTTACCTGCTGCTACTGTCTTCTACCTTGCTATATTCACCAACACAAACCTCCTCAGGCATGCTAATGTGGACACTTTTATAGTGTTTCGATCTTTGACACCATTATTGGTAGCCATTGCCGACACCGCCTTTAGAAAGCAGCCATGCCCTTCCAAACTGACATTTTTATCTTTGGTGATTCTACTTGGTGGTGCTATTGGGTATGTGATGACTGATTCAGCATTCACCCTCACTGCATATTCGTGGGCTTTTGCTTACTTGATCACAATCACAACAGAGATGGTCTACATAAAACACATGGTGACGAATCTTGGGCTCAACACTTGGGGATTTGTCTTCTACAATAATCTCTTATCCTTGATGATGGCTCCTGTATTTATGGTGTTAACTGGGGAGTATGCTGATGTTTTAATAGCTGTTGGATTGGGATCTGGGGCTTGGGTTGATTTTGGCACATTTGCTGCAGTTAGCTTGTCCTGCGTGTTTGGATTGCTCATCAGTTTCTTTGGCTTTGCGGCAAGGAAAGCTGTTTCAGCTACAGCTTTTACGGTGACAGGTGTTGTTAATAAGTTTCTCACAGTTGCAATCAACGTTCTCATATGGGATAAGCATGCTAGTCCGTTTGGCTTAGCTTGCCTACTTTTCACTCTAGCTGGTGGGATTCTCTACCAGCAATCAGTTACCGGTAATACAATGACTTCTGCACAACATGATTCTGCTGCTGCTAAGCAGGCAAAAGATGTGGCTGGGGACAGTGATTCTGATGATGAGAACCAAATGTCCAGCATCTCACGAAAGGATTCCAATGTATGAAATCAATCAGTTTTTTTTTTTTGCTCTATGATAAATGTTGTGCTTTACTAGGGTTCATTAATCATTTTTGAGACAAAAAGCATTCTTTAATGCTGTTATTCTGAGAATCTTTTGGTAAATAAATTCTCATGGTAGACATCTCATTTTCCCCTTTTACTTTCTTCAGATTATATCATCATATGAGATTTTATTGCTATTATGGTTATTAGGGTGGAGATATATAGTCTTTTCATCTCATCTTTTGGGCATTGTACTGATGTTTAATAAATGAAATTAGAACTTGTAAATCATGATGGGTTTTACACTACTACTCCCTTTTAATAATAACCCACAAGATTCACTCATTTTCTTTTTATCTTTCAAATTCTCTGTATCACATATAGGCATCATCTTATCTTTTAATGATGCTGATTGTTAAATGATAATTATTAATATCACTCAACTAAGATTGAATATCATATACATGAATTTGTTCTACTAATTCTAAGTCTTTTGTTTTCCTAAATATTTTCTCTATTATTTTAACTTTTCACTTATTCAGTGGATACCTCATAGAACAAAAATATGTCACTTGTAAAAAGCATATATTGAAGCACCGCACTTTAAAGTTCCTTTGTAGTCACCTTCATAATCGATGCAAAGAGATAAAAACCTAATGTTGACCCCTTATGTTATTAGAAATTATTTGTTCACTTCATAATTTCTTCTAATACTATTCAATGCACCATCATATATATTTTTTCATTAATTTTCTTAATATAAATCTCTCTTTAAAGTTCATCTTCTTGATATGAACTGTAATTGTTTCTTTGAAACTAGATTAATTTTTTTAATCCTATATTCCATTCCTATATTCCATTACTCACTCTCATAAATTCATTGGATGAATCATAATTTTGATTAATCTATTGTTAATATAATATTTATCATCCTTTTATTTTTAAAAAAAAACTTTCTTATCTAATTATTTGAATTCCTCTTAGTTTTCAAAAGAGGTATATCAAACTCTTAAAGGGAACTAAGGTGTAACTTTTACTCTTAGAGGAAGGAGCTTTACCTGACTCCCTATCTTGGGGACGTTAGTTTGTCTTCTTCTATGCTTGAGGAAGACATTCTTGCTTGTCAATATTGTAAAATAATTCGTAACAGAACGAGGTGCATTTTTTATGCTATTAACATAAAAAGGTGTTGGTGGATAAAATGGTGCACATTATGTTTTATGGGAATAGCTTATATAGTGTGCGTTATTTTATTAGTTTTGTTTTTTGAATGATTTTTCTAATTGTTTTGATTTTGCCAGAGCAACTAGCATGTATCAAAAAGATATAGAACATTCAAGGTCGATTTAAAGGACAAGAAAAAGAATTTTCTTTTAGGTCCAGTATACTTGTAGATGACATGAAGAAGATGAGGATGATAGAGAATATTATGATTTGGGAGATGATAATAATGGTGATGAGTTTATTTGGTGTATGAATGATGATGGTTCTCATTAGCACCTGTTTAATTTTTTATTTATTTGAGAATTATAAACAAATATTTCATATGCTCTAAACCTAAGCACCGAAGTTTCACATTTTGTCTTAATATTAGCATTGCTATTGCGATGGTTTTCTTTGTAAATCTAATTATTTTCTTTGCCATGATTGCCATATGTTAACCTTCATGTAAACTATAGCTATCTTTTAAACTATTAAGTGATGTTTATTGTGTTTGTGTGCTTGCCTTTTTTTTTAAGATATTTTATTTCTTATATTGTTGAATTATTAATAAATCATTCATATTTTTTTATGACTTGCATTACTTTTAAACTAACATGCCATGTGATGCATTACATGCTATAGCACCATGAGACTCTTATATTGTAGTGCACTATTCTCTATTAAAAAGTATGTGAGAGTCTCATTCCCACACTTACGATATCAGTGCTTCATTCCCACATTTAGATGCAACAGGAGCATCCTCTATTGCATTTAGAGGGAGGAGGTGTCCAGGTTCCACACTTCTGGTAAACCATTGCTCTATTCCCACTATTAGCGGGATGAACTCCTCTCTTGAGAGGAATTAGGTCGGTTATTGAGTACTTTAGTGTATGTCTGTCAAGTTTAGCTATTTTAGTGCACAATTGATTGTTAACCACAAGTGAACTATTGGGAAAGACATGGCAGAATGTATTGTATTGATATACAATTTTGTTTAAAAATATCTTTTGAGGTTCTTAGGACTTGACATGGCTTTGATACTAGGGATTTAATCAATTTTATGAGTAGATTTTAAGATTTATGTTTTAATTCTATTTGTTTCTCTTTTGATGAATATTCCTTTGGGGTCAATTATATGCATGTTGTTGTAGCAAAACAAAATTTTAAGATTTATGAAGAAAAAAAAAAGTATATATATATATATATATATATATATATATATGGCAGAAGTGTACCATGATCCGAGTTCTCAGTATATCAATTCGTTTGTCAATCTTTAATCATTAAGCTTATGAACTAGCAATCTTCTTGATGTTGAAGGAACCCTTCTATTGACACTTAGAAGTCTATGGGGAATTCAATCCTTTGTTGTTCTATGGTATATTCTGATTGACTCATTGTCGTTGCTTGATTGAATTAATATTGTCATGTGCTATATTGTGTTTTCGCAAATTAGTTGATAGTCCCCTGGATGATCATAGTTTTATTTGACTCAAAACGAATTCAATCATCCCAATAGTGTTAGACCTAGTATGGCATCAACCAACACAATGTATGCATAGTTGATCTGATTAATCCTCTTAAATCTCAGCGGACTTATTCTGACTATGGTTGACTACAACTCAATCAACCCTATTTTGGCCATGATTTATTTGGTCAAATCAATCAAACCCTATGCCTTCTATGAGGCTACAATTGATCATTTCAATTAGTCGGCCATTAATCAGTCCAATAGAGTTCCATGCCTAATTGAATGACCTCCTATCCCTTGGTCTGGTTAATCAATCGTTACAAGTCTAAATTGTGCCCGTTTAGATTTCATTTTGGCCAGCTTGATGGTTTGAACTTAACTTGATTTAACCATCCTATGCTTGACTTTATTGTTTGGACATATGTAGCTCAATGCTTGGCTATTAGTCTCTATCTCAATTTGGGTTGTTTTTTTTTTTAGATTGGGTTGACATGAAATTCAGCTCGTTATTCTCAAATTTATTCAACCCCTTGGTTATTTGATTTGAGCCACTTGATTACTCAGCTCAACCTTAATTGAACAATCAAGTTCCTTAATGTCTTATCTTAATATGAGCTACTCAATGCGGATATTGAGGTAGCTAGATTATTGGTTTTGAGTATTTATTTGGGTTTCCTAAAGTTGAATAAACTCTATACAACCCCAAATAACCCTATAGAACCTTGGACTCCCTTAATTGGGGATAACTCAGTGTATATGTGGGACACAACCTAACTCGATTTTTAGCTCCCTTAAAATTGCTTGTCTTGGATCTAATTCAATCGAATTCCTCTTAAATTTACTCATAGCTCACATTAAATATGCTCAAGCTTAATTTTTTGAAGTGAATAATCTCACTCAAGCTTGCGTGAATCCACTTAGGACTAGCTATGGTCATTCGAGCTCAATTTGTCATCGCTTGAGTTCAATGCATTTACTCAAACCTTAAATTTATTCATTGAAATGATCAACCTAGTCAATTATGAATTTAACTTACTCCATCTAGGCTAGACTTGATTATATAATTGCCCATGGTCTACATTACTATATGCCAGATAACACGTATCTCTACGTATTTGATTGACGATTAGCCTTAATCGAAAGTTCTCTCTCGTTATCGGGAGGGGTAATTAACTATAGGGGCTTGCGCTTATAGGAAACCAGAACTCAGATCATAAAGTTCTCGCAAAATGAGGGCGAAATATCTGGGTAGTGCCTTATCTACAAACCGATCTGCCTTCCCAAAATTTACCCCGAAACTTTAATCCATTAAAACTTTCCCCGAAAGAAAAAGCAACAGTCGGGCGGAGGCTGGAGCCGAATTTTCAGAGCCCACACTTATGCTAAATCGTCTGCCATCTCGTCGCATCTGCCGTATCGTCTCGTCAACGTCCATTCGCGTGACGTAAGTTCGAGTGTGTGACAGTAACGTCGCGTGAGTGCCTGATTGATCGCCTCGCTGTCCCGTCGTCCCGCACTCCACAGTCCACATCTGACCCAATTGGCCAATTCCCTACCTGCACTCGCGAGTCAAGCCGGTGTTGCCGCCCCGCCGTCCAGCCGTCCCGCGACCCTACTGTTGCCTGAGCGTAACACGTGCGAGTGTCTCAATTCGATAAAATCCAGATTAGTGGGTCAGGTCTGGTCAACCCGAAAACTTGACGGGTCGAGTATGTGTCCAAATTTTCGACCTGTTTGCAATTCCAGTTTGGTTTAGGTTAACTCGTTTGGACCCGGGTCAATTTCAGGTTCAACCCGAACCTGACCCGAAACCCGATTTTGACGCCCCTAGCAACAACACAGCATTATGCTAGCCCATTTCTCTAATATACAAAAGTTGTATTATTCATCCTCTTTCATGCATATGAATGACACGAATGTGATTGCTAATTAGACTTTCTTGATGACGTAACATATCATCTTTCCACCTTTAGTAGATTGTGTCTATTGGGGAGGTGAAAGTAAATCACACAACGAAACAAATAAGTAAAATCGAAAACATTAGAAAATAAAGGACACCAGGATTCAACGTGAAAGCCCGAAATCGGGACAAAATCGTGGAACCACACCATACGAAGAAATCCACTATGAAAATTGAGAGAAATTTGTATAGATTTCTCTTCTATCTCGCCCTCTTCTTGCTTCTATTCACTCTTACACCATTCTGTCTCACTAAACAAAAGAGAAAAGCCTCTATATACCACAAAGGGACGCCACCCCTGAGAAAAATGAGAAAGAAAATTGTCCAGTCTGCCTCGAAGTGTTGTGGTACTAGTTTGGGGCGTTGTGGCGCCTAACACTCTATCTCTAGTCCACCTGACAGCGTTGAGGCGTTGAATTTAGAACACTGCGGGATTGCATCTATAGAAACTTGTGTGAGGTGTTTTGCTTTGATTCACCTCTGTTAAGTTCTCTACCAGTAGTAGAAGGTGCAGCCTTTTGTTGTATTGGCTCTTTATGCGCTGCCAACTATCAAGCTTCTTAGTACTTCTTATGCCGTGATAATTGCTTTTATTGGCTTTCCCCACTAGAAGAGTTCAGATGCAAACAGATTTGTTCCTTCCTTGTTCTATTATACCTCACTTCTTACGATCATTTAAGTATCAAGACCCAGCTGGATAGCTCAGCAATAATTTAGACTTGTTAGAAACATAAGTCTGATTCAACTACCTGCTGTTATGGCGTTTGATGAATCTCTACTTAGTACCATCCTTTTGGCTCAAGGCATTAGTGGCAAGTGTGTTTATAGTGACTCTTTATAGTCTGAAAATATCGTCTAAATTAGTATGAAGTCTCGTATTACTTGCTGCATTGTAAACTTGAGAAATAATTTTCATGCGAGTAAATCGACTGTTTTGCGTTCTGTTGCATTGAAAACATCTAGAAAAAAGTCTTCTAATGATGATTGATAGAAGCTGGTTGGTCTATAAGCAACATATACATTCTTGAATAGAATCTCCTGTTTTTCTGAAACTGTTGGTTTCTAATTTCTTACAACAACAACATCAAGCCTTTGTTACACTGCGTGGGGTTGGCTTTATAAATCATTTTTCTCCATTGTGTCATGTTAAAAGTCAAATTCTCGTTTAAATCTAATAAAGAAAGATCATTTCTAATATTTTCTAACCAAGTCTTTTTAGGTCTACCTCTACATTTTTTTTAACATAAGTCAAATCTAATACCCCTACTTTCCTAACCCGGCCATCGGAAGGCCGCCGTTTTATGTGACCAAACCATCTAAGGCGACTCTCTCTAATCTTATCTTCCACTGGAGCTACTCCAACTTTTTGACGCATATGTTCATTTCGTATCCTATCTCTAAGGGTAAAGCCACTCATCCACCTGAGCATCCTCATCTCTGCAACACTTAACTTGGTTTATAAATTTTTTTATCCGAAAATTCAACCTTTTTTCATTAACCTTAGCCACGTTCAATGTTGAACTGCTAATTATGTGTTTTCTGCTGCAAATCATTTAATTGGAGTTCTGTAGTGTGTAATGGACATGCTTCCAACTTTTGTTTTAGCATGTTTGATTACTTGTAATAGAGAATATTTAAAAAAAAAAAAACTTGTTTGTAATATTTGAATTTGTGAAAATTAAATTATTATGTTTGAAGGTATTGTGTGGCTTAGTATATGAAGCTGATTCCAGTGTTCAGGTTGCTCTGCTAGTGCTTGCAGAATTCATGGGGATGTTAAACTAGGTGAGAT